GATCTCTCTCTCTCTTTTTTAAATTTTATTTTTCAAGTTTTTAATACGAAAAAGAAAAAGAAAATATATCTAATATATAATAATCATGTTGTGAAGTTTACATTAAACATTGTTTTCAATCCATCTGTTAATTTTTTGCCATTTTTTAAAAACTTGTTTTCTTCTTTTCCTGATAACATCATATTCAACTTATCCATTTCTGCTATTTCAAGGATTTTCATAATTAGTTCTTCTCTACATGGTATTTTATCTGTTTTCCAGCATTTTGCCACAAGGATTATAGATATTGTAAGTATATATAATATAATACACAGTTCATTATGCTTAATTCCATCTGGAGTTATATTAAGTAGGTATATTTCTGGTAAGAGCTTTAACTCTATCTCCGTAATCTCATTAATTAATTGTTTAATAGTTTTCCAAAATTTTTGGATCTTTTCGCAATGCCACCATATATGATAGTACGTTCCTATATTATTTCTGCATCTCCAACAGTTTCCAGAAACACCTTTATAACATTGAACTAATTTATCAGGTGTCCAGTGCCATCTGTATAACATTTTAAATATATTTTCCTTATATGACGTAGATCTTAGAAATTATGTTTTTGCCCAGGCATCTATCGCTATGTTATGTCCAATATCTTTCATCCATATTACCATGGATGGTTTTAATACTACTTCTTGCATATCATCCTCCAATAAAAAATTATATAATTTTTGGATCAGCTTATCCACGGATGAAAGCCATATTTTATCTATTTCTAATTTTATTTTGACAAAATTTCTTTTTTTATCCTTGGTATATCTCGATTGTAACTGTATTTTTTCCCAATTGGTGAGATTGATATTTATTGTCTGCAGTACCTCGAATGATTTTAATTCGTTGTTTTCATTTAAAAGTGTTTCATATGTTACCCTTTTGTTATCTGTTAGTAATGTTGGTATTATAAAGGCCTCCAGTGGGGAGACCCACCTTGGAATTTTAAGACAGAATCTTTCTTTAATATTTCTCCAAATCTTCATTAATGCTCCCCTTATTATGTTGTTATGAAAGTTTTCTTGTATTTTATCTTCATGACCTTCCACTTTTAATAGTCTCTTATCTTCCAACAAAATCCATTCTTGAACCCAACCCATAGCTGCTGCTTGATAGTAGATATACCAATCTGGTATTCCTAGTCCCCCTTTATTTTTCTTCCCTCAGAGTAACTTCAGTTTCACCCGTGGTCTCTTCGCTTGCCAATTAAATTTCCTGACATATTGGTTTAGTTCTTTGAAAAATTTCTTATTTTTCAGTATGGGTATGCATTGCGCTAAAATAATATTCGTGGAAGGACATTCATTTTTATGGTGGCAATTCTGCGCATAAATGATATGTGCAGATCATGCCACTTTTGTAAATCATTCTTTATCTCTTCTAGTAACACTTTGTAATTATTTTCATATAGATTGTTGTTCTTATTTGAAATATTAATACTTAAATATTTAACTTTTTTTACTACCTCTATATTTCAGATCAATTGAATTTTAGTTATATCTTCTTTGGTACAGTTTTTTGTCAACATTTTTGTTTTCTTAATATTTATTTTAAGTTCGGCTATTGCTCCATAACTTTGTATTAACTTTAATAAGGGCAGTATAGAAGTTATTGGGTCCTCCAAGATAAACACTAGATCATTAGTGAAAGCTTGAAGTTTGAAATGTTCTCCTTTAATTTTAAGACCTGTAATTTCCATGTTGTCTCTCACCAAATCATTCAATGTCTCTATTCCAAAAATAAAAAGTAATGGGGAGAGTGGACATCCTTGTCGAGTCCCTTTTTCAATAGCTATATTATTTTGGCCCATTGTTATTTATAAATTGCATCTATCATCTTCATAAAGTTTTCACCACATTCCCATATTTCCAGTTTATTTTATTTAACGTTATCAAAGGCTTTTTCCACATCAAGAAACACCAAAGCTAACTTGTTTCCCGGATGATGTTCATAATATTCTATGATATTTACAATGGTTCTTAAATTCTTCTTTATTTGTCTTTTTGGAAGAAAGCCTGATTGATCTTGATGTATGACTTCCACCATCCAGGTTAAAGGCATGATCCCTTTGATGTACCAGTTGCTTCTGACCGACTCAGACTTACTGTTAACCCCTTATCAACAGGCATGGCTCAAAGACCTGAATAGGAAACTTACAGCTGATCAATGGAGCGCAATATGGAACTCACCAATGCACAAATCTCATTCGATTCCCATCCACACCCAATCCACTAAACTTCTGCGGTGGTACCTCACTCCAGTTAAATTAGCGCATATCAGCCAGGGTGCATCCCCCCTGTGTTGGAAGCTATATGGGGATAAGGGTACCTACTTTCACAATTGGTGGATGTGCCCATCTGTTGCAGGGTTCTGGGATGAGATTATAGCAGAGGTACACCACATAACTAGCCACAAGGTCACTAAAGACCCTATGATAATTCTCCTTAATTTATGGCCAAAGACAATGATCCAAAGGCAGGATAGAGACTTGATCTCCACCTTATTTTCAGCAGCAAAGAGTGTTCTGGCAAGGCACTGGAAACTTCATACAGTGCCAACAGTGCACCAGTGGCTCCTCAAGGTATGGGATTATTTCATGTTTGATAAACTATCAGAACAAACACACGAGGAATGCCAGTCTGTCCCCTCTGACACGGGTATGCTAAAATGGGCAGAAGGTAAAAGGTATTTATTTTATTTTATTTATTATTTCCACTTACTATACCGCCCATACCCCTAGGGGTCTCTGGGCGGTTTACAGGGTAGTTCTATGAACTATAGTACCCTATCTAAGGCCACATACTGTAGGGGATGGGAGGTAAGCATACACCTATTACAAATTTAGGGATGGATTATTATCCTCTATATTTAGTCTCTTGATGTTAGGATAGGTGTAGCCTCATAGAGGTTTAGTTATAGCATAAGGTTTGAGATTGAATGTCAATGCTGGTGTATGCCTTGTATCGCAATACTGGTCAATATTTGTATGTACAGGTTTATATTTGTGAAAGCAGTTCCGGTTAATGTGTTGTACTATGCTTAAAACTCAATAAACGTTGTATATATATATATAAAAACAAGTTCACTCGGGCCCTCAGGGCATGGTGGTCTGACCATGGTACTGCCGTTACAGTAATCCGGTCCACTGTAACCCCCGCCACAAAGATCAAATCAAGCGTGTGACCAGCCTGATGAGTGGGGGCCGTTACATAGTGGGAGAATCCCAGCACCACCATGGACGATGTCAGGTCCACCACCTGGGAGGAGGCCGCATCATCAGCATGGACGTTGAAATCACCCAGGACTAGCAGCCTAGGGTGGTCAAATGCCCAGCCCGACACGGCCTCCACCCGAGATGGCAGGCTGTCCGCCGGTGCGATGGGCAGACGGTACACTAGCCAGACAGCCAAACTCTCCCCGGCTTCCCACTCAAAGCTGGCACACTCAATGCCTGCAATCCTCACTGCTGGGAGCGCCCTGAAGGAGTAAGCCTCCCAAATGAACAAAGCCACTCCTCCCCCCTGCCCCAAAGACCAAGATTGGTGAAAGACCGAGAACCCAGGAGGAGCCAACTGGGAGAGAGCAACCATCTCCCCATCTCGTACCCAGGTCTCAGTCACGCACGCCAGATCCACGTCCTGCTCCAGCAGGAAGTCCCGCAGAACTGATGTCTTATTGTTTATGGAGCTGGCGTTGCACTAGGAGAGGAGTTTTTTATTCTTGCCCCACTGTCTGCCACCTTTGGGATGGGACGCAGGCTGGAAGGTGGCCGAGCTTCTCCATTTCTCTGCCCCCTTCCCTTCCATCTCCGCCTGGTCCCACCGCTATACCTTCCCCTTCCCAAGAGCACTGGGATTCCCGGCCATTACTACCCTGGTGATCTTCTTTGGCCGCACTCGGCTCGAGCCACAGATTCACCCGTTAGTTGGCAGTATTCTGACCTACTGCATGCTGCTACTATTTGATAAAAAGCAACCCATTTATAATTAACTGCTGATTATTCCTAATCAAATACAATACTGGGTCTATTCTGATCCTACTCTTGCAGCCCTAACATTAATCTTATAGCTTCTGATTGCCTCTTTTTCTCTTTTTCTTTTTTCCCTTATCTAAACCTCCTTTCTCAGCCAGTAAACTGCATAAAGGCTGGGGTTCAATGGCATATTTACTAAAGTTAATGTCGAAGTTTACCATGAATTGAATATAGGGCCATTAATACAATTAAATATTAATTGTATCTCATTAAATAGAACCTATGCACACACCCTGCTGGATAAGCAGATTTGGGCAACAAATGGATATCTTCCTACTAATTAGTATGTTCAGATGGTCAAGAAAAGGTATCTGTTAAAGTTGCAATTGATTCAGTGGGACTTGTGTAGAAGACCTTCCTGATGAATTGTGACTTTAAGGTAACTAGATACCGGTTCCTGTTTACCAATCAGTCATAGGATCTCATGAGATAATTTATCTTAATATGCATAAATCCATTTTGCAAGTATTTATGAGAATGAGATAGATAGAAAATATGTAAATAACTCTTTCCCTTCATTCCAGAAATCAGTCTAATTGCTATAAACTCTCCCCATGGAATGCAGGAAAATGTAGATCTCTATGACTGAGAGTTCGGCCAGTACAAGTTTTATTGCAAAGCTGCAATCCATAAGATACTGTGGGACAAGCCATGGCAGTTAAGCTGGCACTAAAACAAATATCTATTTCACCAGTAGATGGCTTTAACTGTACTTAACTTTAAGCTATCTTAAATAAGTATGTTTATGCTCTTTAATTAAACACTTAAATGTTGCTGTTTTCCAAATAGGGCATTTTGACCTGGGGCGGAATTCCAAGGAAAGGGAAGTCGGATCTTTCCTTGATTACCTGGATTTTCAAAGTTCTTCAGCAAGGTCTCAGCAAGAGAACTGGCTACAAACAGTGAACAAACAGAACCATTAGGCCAGATGACTGCAAGCTTAAGTAGCATGCAAACTACTGACCAAACTTTGCACCTAAGTAACATTACTACCTCTTCAGGGTCAAGGTAAGCAAACTGATCATTCTAGGTCTTTAAAAATATTCAGCTTGTTTCACTGTCATAAGCAAGGCTTGTCAAGAGAAGCTAATGGAAACTGATGACCATTTATAGTGAGTTAATGGGGTTTACAGTATATTATAAGTATTTGTATCATTGTTATAGGTAAGGGATCTGCAAACTGTGACTGTAGAACCAAATGTCTCTTTAAAAAAGAAAACTAGATTCTTGAGTTAAATTATATTGGAGAATAGGTGGGATGCTAGAATAACCTCTATGTGAAGAGAACGGCATGAAAAGTTTTTTATGAGACAAGGGATGGGCACAAACTAGCTCACAAACTAAAGTTTATGACGAATTTTGTTCGGTTCGTGGTTCCCAAACCTCCACGAACTTTTAGTACTGTTTGTAGTGGCTCTTGGCAGTTCGTGAATGGATACATTTTTCAGACAGACTTGCGCTGCTCAGTTGAACTATTTACAAAACATTCCAAGGCAATGGGGAGCGGAATTCTCCAGCCTTGGAAATGCCAGCAGGAGCCCTCCAAACCTTAACAGGCACTGCCAGCTGCCAATCCATTCTGCTCTATGTGCTCAGAATGCTATATATTCAGTCAACTCCTCTCTCATGCTTTTATATGTTGGCTGGTGACAGTAAAAGAGGGAGGTGTGGAACTTGTTAAAAGCAGAACATATTCATTGCTTTCTGCTTGTAATCTGCTCTCTGCTGCTGGGGTTTGGGTGTAGGTTGACTCAGGGCTCTGAGCCACCCAGTCTCTCTGTTCACACCAAGCAGTGGGGCTTAGCTACTGGGTTCCTCAGCTGGGGACCCAGATTTTAAACCCCCACCCTTCCTGCTTGTGATCTGCTCTTTGCTGCTGGGGTTTGGGTGTAGGTGGACTCAGGGCTCTCAGCCACCCAGTCTCTCTGCTCCAGCTGAGGACAGGGGCTTAGCTGGTGGGTTCCTCGGACAAGGGCCCACATTTATATACCCTCCCAGGGCCTGGGTGTCAGGGGTGGTTTTAGGGTTCTGAGCCACCCACTCTGCTCCAGAAGAATGCAGGGCCTGGGTGTCAGGGGTGGTTTTAGGGTTCTGAGCCACCCAGTCTCTCCAGAAGAATGCAGGGGCTTAGCTGGTAGGTTCCTCGGACAAGGGCCCACATTTATATACCCTCCCAGGGCTTGGGTGTCAAGGGTAGTCTCAGGACTCTGAGCCACCCAGTCTCTCTGCTCCAGCAGAACACAGAGGCTTAGCTGGTGAGTTCCTTGGACAAGGGCCCACATTTATACCTACCCCTCCTGATTGTGATCACCAGGAAGGTGAAAGCGAATGGAAGGGGTCTTATCACAGGGGGATGAAGCCCTCCCCCTGTGCACCAGAGGACCCTGTTCTCAGGCACCAAATCCAGCCTGCCATTGCCTGGAGCCCCACCCCAGCAGGGCATCACCAGGGATCTTGGAGCCTCCTTCCCATGCTTTGTCCATGGGGCTCTCTTAAGAGGAAAGAGTTTTTAGCAGTTCTGCCCAGACACCAGCAGTTGCTAAAAGTCTTTGTAGAAGACTCTGACAGCAGTGATTCAGACAGTGGGGGGAGAAACATCCTCCCCTTCCACATCTCAACTCCCTGCTACTCCTGCTGCATTAAGTACACCCTGCTCTGGCACCTCTCAGCCCAGCACCAGAGGGCAGTTGTGCCTTCCACCTGCTCCAATTGTGGGGCCCCATTTCCAGGCCAACGTGTGAAAACACTCCCATACCCTCCCCAGTGACCCCTGTATAGCAGAGTGCCAGTTGTGCCACAGCCATGTCCAGAGGGGCATAGACACCCAACACCTATATTCCTCCATTCTTCACAGGCACCTGCAAAATGTGCACCCCACTTTGTTGCTGCCAGAGGAAGGAGTGGTGGGCAGTGGGAGGAGGAAGAGGCCCACTCCTTCTCAGCAGGGACAAGCAGGGAGAGGAGCAGGAGGCTCCTCTAAGAAAGGCTCCCCATGCTCAGAGAAGTCATGGCCCTAGGAACACCAACCGTACCACCAAAAAGGGCAAGAGGGAGGACTCAGGAAGCACTCACTCACCTCATCGGTGAGGTGATTGCTGTGGATGGCCAGCCTTTCTCCCTTGTGAAGTACATAGGCTTTTGCTGGTTGCTGCAGAACCTGGCTCCCTGATACTCCATCCCCTTGTGGAGGACCATGAACCAGCAAGACTTGCCTTCCATTCACTGCTCCACAGTGGCGATGGACAAGCCTGAGCTCTCGAATGTGCAAGGCCAAACAGTCCTTTTTACCATGAACCTCTGGAGCAGTCAGCAGCACACTTGCCTCTCCCTCACCCCCCACTGGTGGCAACTGAAGTCCTCACTGTCTGGACTGTTGGGCCCAGGCCCTAGGAAAGGACAGTTCTGCCACCTGGCTACAAAGTGGTTCTGCTCCATATGAAGGGGATGGATGCAGACCACACAGCAGCAAACATGGCCGCCATGTTACAGAGTAGCCTGAGGGAGTGGGTGAGCAGTAGCAACATTGTCTGTTGCTATATGGTCGTGGACATTGATGCCAACATGCTGGCAGCAGTGAAGGCTGCTCACCTCAAGGGCATCATCTGCCTGGAATGAACTAGCAAGACTTGCCTTCCATTCACTGCTCCATAGTGGTGATGGACAAGCCTGAGCTCTCGAAAGTGCAAGGCCAAACAGTCCTTTTTACCATGAACCTCTGGAGCAGTCAGCAGCACACCTGCCTCTCCCTCACCCCCTACTGGTGGCAACTGAAGTCCTCACTGTCTGGACTGTTGGGCCCAGGCCCTAGGAAAGGACAGTTCTGCCACCTGGCTACAAAGTGGTTCTGCTCCATATGAAGGGGATGGATGCAGACCACACAGCAGCAAACATGGCCACCATGTTACAGAATAGCCTGAGGGAGTTGGTGAGCAGTAGCAACATTGTCTGTGGCTATATGGTCATAGACATTGACCTTCCAGGACACCACCAACATGCTCTGTGCCCATATGGCCAGCCTGGAGCAAGTCATCCCCCTAATTCGAGGCCTGGACTGGGTGCTGGCCTTACACTGCAGCTGGGCTCTGAGAGGACACTTGTTCTCCCAGAGGTCATGGCCTTGGCAGAGAGGTTGCAGGTAGGCTTTGCCACTAGGTTTTATCCTCTTTGCAAGGAACAGGAGTGCAACCTGGCCTGTATGTGTGACTCATGGATTAAAAGCAACATTGTTCTCATTAATGCAGAGCTCATGGAGTGGAAGAGTGAGCTCTACAGAGAAGTGCAGAGGCTTTGTGCCAGCAGATGTGGCCAGAGGGAATAATGGTGGAATAAGCTGGGGAGGAGGAAGATGGGGGGAGGAGCTGCAGCCCAGCACCTCTGCCTCAAAGAGCCCATCCAGGCAGAATCCCCACCACTGGTTTTCAGTGGTGAAGTGGAAGGTCAGCAGCAGCAGTGGTGGGGAGGCCAGGTGTGCAATGCTGGAGGATTTGGCAGAGGTGATGGTGAGGGAGTACCTCACCAAGTCCACTGAGCCCATCAATGCTAATCCCCTTGAATAGTGGTCACCTAAGGCCATCATGTGGCAAGGGGGTTTGTGTGGTTCAATGAGGCTGTGGGCTATGCCGTGGAGGGTCACTCAGGATGGACAGGCCACAGCAGAGAACTCAAACCAAGTGTGATCCACTGGAGAAGGAAATGGCAACCCACTCCAGTATTTTTGCCAAGAAAACCCCATGGACAGGAACAAAAGGCTACAAGATATGATGCCGGAAGATGAGCCCCTCAGGTCGGAAGGTGTCCAATATGCTACTGGGGAAGAGCAGAGGGCAAGTACAAGTAATCCCAGAAAGAGTGAAGTGGCTGGGCCAAAGCCGAAAGGACGCTCAGCTGTGGATGTGTCTGATGGTGAAAGGAAAGTCCGATGCTGCAAAGAACAATACTGCATAGAAACCTGGAATGTAAGATCTATGAATCAAGGAAAGTTTGACATGGTCAAAAATGAGATGGCAAGACTGAACATCGACATCTTGGGAATCAGCGAACTAAAGTGGACAGGAATGGGCGAATTTAACTTA